ATCTGTGAACACATGTGAAGTTGAAGTGTGCCACTTTGATACAAATTTTCACAGGTCTTCACAAGGTGGCATTGTTGAGATTCAGTCTCCTGTACGTGTTTTCTCTGAGCACCACTTGCCCCCCCCCACCAATCCGAATTGCCCCGGATTTTCAAATGGGCCGCGGCTCCAAGAAGAACAAGGGCAAGAAGCCGTTCAGTTTGTCCAGAGTCATTTGATTGGTTTGCCAGGTTCCGAGCTGGGCGATCACGTAAAATCGAGAAGCCGTCAGTGAGGAACCAATAGGGATCCGACTTGTAAGAGCTAAAAGTTCCCCAAAGGTTTCGAGTGTTGTCGCAAATATTGAAGGGGCTGGTCAGAAGAGGGCTGGAAGGAGATGGGCTCTGCATCTGATGAGCGAGACAGAGAAAACAAATCAAAGTCGGATTTACTTTTTCATTTGAAGAGCCGGCTGCGTACACGAAAGTTCGTAAGTCAACCTAAGATGTGGCTCTCGGCTGGGAGACGGTCTGTTCATGTTCGTCGATGATGGGACATGATCAGCTTGCGAAACCGAGACCAGTTTAGCCTCTGGAATTTCAATGAATAGAGCCACTCTGTTAAAAAGGCTTCATCTGTAACACTTGTCCTGCCATTGGTCATTCGATCCCTGAGGCGAGCACTGTCAATGCTTTTATGCGTTCTTGTTGCGAGCCAGAGCAGTACAGCATATCTTCCTAGCTCGAGGGACACAGAGGTTCCTTTACTTTGTGAAGAGCTTCCGTGAAAAAAATTTCGACTATCAGGCTGGCGATCGGCAGGTTCCCGTTCGACGTCGTATGAAATGCAGTCGGTAGACATGACGTGTCCGACCGACTTGCTCTTCGATTCTTTAGGAATGCTGCAATGTTCCTGGTATCTGATCCTTGAAGGAAATTAGAAAGCCGGATTCTCTATTGCACCCCAAGCGTCGTCTTCATTACCGTGCACCGTGTAACTCTGACAGCATCCTGCCTGTGCAGGGTCCATCTCCCTAAAGTGTATGTCACAGAGCGACTGCAGAGGGACACGGATGTTGCTCGTCATCTTCAGCACTCTTTTGGTGTTTTTAACTGCATAGTCCCTCCTGCTTAGCTCGGGAGCTAAGAGTGGGTCAAGTAAAAACTAAGACTATGCATTTTTCAGATGGAAACGAGCCCCCACCCCTTGCGTCCAGGATCAATCAGCTCTCAGTCTTAAGAGTAACTTGACTAGTGGTTATATGACTCAAGTTTTGCAGTGTTCATACTTCTATG